GATTTTATAAAAATTAATATGTGATACTATAGATACTAGTATCTACAAACATAAGATGTTTCATATGTAAATAAGTAAACTATGAAACACTTGTGTAAACATTAGTATACAAAGTTAATTATATTAATCTTTCAATTATAGTAATTATATTTTAAAAAATTGTATATTTTACTGTATTTTAGTTACTATGTATAATATATCCTTTTAAATATAAAACATATATATGCACAGAGGATAAGAAAAGAAGATTCTATTCTTAATCGTGATGCGCAATTTTATGAAGAAAAATATTGATAACTTACATAAACAGTTGAATGTTTGATGCCATAAATTAATATGCTCATGTGGTAGATAAGGTCTTCTTGTTGAAATTAGTATTAAAGTCTTAGCTATAGTTCCAAAATTCTATTATTTTAGTTTTAAAATTAAAATTTGTTTATTTTCTACATTAAATTATTTGAGAGTAAATAACTAAGTTCTAATATTATAGAATCATAATAAACAAAATATGATAAACAATAAAACCAAAAGTTATAAATATTTATACTTATTATTTTTTTCTTGTAAATTATAAAGTACATTATGTTTGTTATGTTTGTGAATAATTACTATATTTACAAAATACTTGTTTCTTTTAATTTCTTTTCTTTGTATTAATTTCAAAAAACAAGCATTGATTCATAATAAAAATATCTTTATTATGCTTTTTATAAATATTTGAACTTCCAATGACAAAAAATTCTTTTCGTAACAGAGTCACATGCATTGCATTATGTCACTGGCACTGGTACAAAGCAACAATGAACTATTCTTATTACTTAGTAACGTCTGGAATTTTAATTCAAGGACTTTCTTTCAAAGCTACTTTACCTTTTTATATACTAAAGTTATAATTAAATATACTATTAATATTACTAAAATACAAACTAAAATACACCGACTTTCCTTTATTATTCTTTTTTTATTTTTTTTATAAATTTTCTGTAAATAATATTACCTTAATATTACTAATACATTTAACATTATATATTTAAATAATATTACAAAAATTTTCTATATTATACAAATTTTATAATCTTATAGTAACATTAATATTTTTTGATATTAAATATTCTTAGTATTTTAATATTTTTAACATAATATTAACATAATATTATTAACATTTTGAAATTAATATTTTTTCATGTATACAAAATAACATATACATTTTTTACAGATTAGAAAGTTGCCCATTGTTAAGTAATAGCAGTCCTATGACACAAACTGAACTTTTACAAGAGTTAACAAATGATTGTCGTTATGATAAGATGACTAGACCACCAGGAGAAACTAACTTTACAGATCCAATTAATGTGTATACTAAGGCTTATATTTATACAATTAAGTCAAATATGGCAAAGACACTGGTAGCTTGTGTTAAATATGTTTTATAATTTACACGAATTTTAATATTCATTTTTCATAAATGTTTTAAGATAATAATTATGTTATATTTTATTGTAAATACATGCAAAAACATTATTACAGCAATTTGATGTACATATGATGTTACAATTTAAATACTTTGATGAAAGGTTAAAATTTTCAAATGTTGCTCCATATTTAAATCAAATACGTGGTGGGCAGTTTGCACATGATTTAATTTGGACACCTTCTGTGTATGTTTCTAATGAACCCAGTTCAGCCATAATGGGAAATAGTGTTAAGGATATACTTGTTTCAATAGATCCATCAGGCATGGTTATACTGAATACCAGGTTTGTAAATTAAACATCAGATAATTTTGTAGAATGTTTCATAGATTTTATAAAAGATTAAATCTATCTTGCATCTTCTTTTGTTCTTTTATTTCATTAGTAATAAAGTGATTACATGGAAAGCTAAATTCAACAATCTAATAGATTGAATTATTTAATTGATTGAAACAAATTTAAAAATTGAATCATAATTAAATTAATATTTGAAATGTAGATCACAAATTATTCATTAATAAATTAATCATTTTATTCCTAAAAAGAATTATCTAAGTAATACATATACATACATTTGTATATAATAAATTTTATATACTTGTATCATAATATTAAACAAAATATTATTTGCATAAATGTATCAATTTATGGGATGTACTTCAAGTACTAATTAATTTATTTTGAAATCAAACGATATAACATTATATAGTAGGTATAATATTATCAAAATATCATAATTTTTACGTTGATAAAATCAATATTAATGAAGTCATATTATGTTTTAATTCCTAGAATTCATCGAATTCGGTTTAAGTCGATCAAATAATTACAATACAAATGCGGGTATACAAAAGAATTAAGCCACTGCTATTCAATAATCAAAGTTGATAAATAATAAATTATCATTTGGCTAATAAAACGTGAAATGTTTATAACTTTTATTCTTTCTTGTTAAATAAGATTATAATAAATTAGTCAAATTTTCAAACAGCACATAACATATAGAATAAAAATGTAGTACATATTGTGACAATATTTTTGTGACATTTGTAAATTAAAAAAAAAATAGACTTTTGTTATTTAGAATTCATTACTTATTGGCTTTGAGTGTCAAAAGATGGCGGTTTTAACTTTATCGTTTAAATACGCTGTATATATTCTACCGACTAGAATTAAATTCGGAGAATAATGGTGATCGGTTAAACTGTTTTTCAAGAATAGAAGAGAAATAATGGAGTTGATATAAATGAATCCTTTTTCGGTTAATAATGAATCATTATTACCTTTAACTTTATTATTAAGAAATATATTTTAATCAAAATGTTCTAATATTTTGTCGTTACATAGCAAATACATGTTTTATCAAAGAAGTTAAAATATTTCACAAATTATAATTTTTTTAAATATCCAATTTTAAAAATTGTATATACTTAATCCTTAACGAAATTTATTTAAATGAAAAGAAAACTATTGCTCTCTCTTAATATTCTTTTGCATTAGAGAAAAGAATATACCATTAGTTACACAAAAAATGTAGTCCATGCTAATTAAACAGCTAAATGAGCTGTTTTGTATAAATTAACCGAAATTAAGATTTTAAATATCCATATTACTTTTTATGCCATAGAAAAATCATAAAGATTTTGTTTAATTATAATATTATCTCAATAGATTAATCTTTATAAGAATAAAAAATCGAAGTTCTATTAAAAAATGTTTACAATATACGTAATTGATAAAATTTATTTTTTTTTGCAATTATAGTAGTAATTTACTACATAGTTTATTATCTTAGAAGTAAAATTATACTATTTTATGTTACAACATATTAATATCTTGAATTAATATAAAATCTTATTGGAATAATTTTTTTTAAGTGAATATAAGAACTTTGTATAATTAAGCTGGAGATATTTTAATAATAAAAAATTATAAACTTATATTATGTTAACATTAATTGCATTAAATTGTGACCAAAAATAAATTTGTAGAAATATTTTTATTTTCATCATTTCTAATTATGATAAACAATGCGAAAAATAATATTTAAAGAATATGTGTTCAAACAAATAACGATAAAACGTATTCTAAAGATTCAAATTTAAATTCAAATATAATGCACAGTGCTTTACCACTATACCAAATTTAATTTAGAGAATACGCGCAAATCGGTCTAATGCAATAAAATAGTTAAAAATAAAAATTGAAGCTGTCAAAGTGACATTTAGAAATTATGGTTTCCTTTATTAAAGAAATGTGTATTACATATATCAATTAAAAATTTTATATAGTTTTGAAGTACTAACGTAACTGCGCGCATTATATTTTTAATTTAAATTTGAAAATATGTAATAAGATAAGAATTATTTTAATTTGTATACAACAATTTTGAAAATAATTGCAAAATAATACAAAAGTAGAAAAAAGAAAGATTATAATTATTTATTACATTAAATATAGCAAAATTATTTTATTTGAATAAAAGTTAAAATGATATTGAAAATAAAAATGTTACATAGAAAACTAGTTTGAAATTTAACTTCACTTATTATAGTTTTCAATAATAAATAATATTTATTAATATAAATGCTCAATTCCTGCATATAATGAAAGTAGTGTATATATGTTATAGGTTACAAGCTACCCTTAACTGTGGTCTTCGTTTGGAGAAATTTCCATTTGATGTACAAGAATGTCCACTTATTTTCGAAAGCTGTAGGATGTTATAGTTTATTGTACTACTACAATGTCAGCTATTTTTTTCTACTGTACTCCTTGGAATGAATGGAATTTTTACCTACAGGGACACATACTGTGCTTGATATGGTGTTGTATTGGGACCAAGAGCCAATCATACTTGCAGATGAATTACATTTGACTGAATACAAGCTTGTTGATAAATGGGTGAATAGATCTGAACTATTTTATACCACATCACAACAACATTATGGTCATTTTGGTATGTATTTTATTATCTATAGTGAATAATATTTTTGAAGTATTCTAATCAATAATCTTTTACATTTATAGCTGGTAATTTTAGTTCAATTAGTATTACATTTAAATTAGCACGTGAAATGGGTTTTTTTATGATGGACTACTACATACCATCTATATTAATAGTAGTTATTTCTTGGGTGTCTTTTTGGTTGCATATGGATGCAAGTCCACCAAGAATAGTTTTAGGTGATATAAAAAATATATTATGAATTATATGTTTATGAATATTTTATTCAGTAGATATTAAAATTACAAAATAAATAATTAATTAAAATTTGTATTTTTAGGTACAAATACTATTTTAACATTTATGACTCTAGCATCAAAAGTGGAAAACTCTCTGCCAAAAGTTTCTTATATAAAAGCTAGTGAAATATGGTTTTTAGGTTGTACCATATTTTTATTTGCAGCTATGGTTGAATTTGCCTTTGTTAACACAATTTATCGACGGAAGTATGTATATATTATTTAAAAAATGCCACATTTTATATTCCACATATTGATACCATTCTTAATTTTGTAAATATATTCAGAAAAAATGTTCCCTTAAAAAAAGTAAATAGTAAATATATATTAAAATCAACTTTAACACCAAAATTGGCTCGAAAACAATTTCAAAAGAACACTACAGGTTTAGAACGATCACGATCTTGGTCATCACTTGATAATGCAAATACCAGCGACCAAGACTATACAAGTCAGAATTACCTTACTGTACATGTAAGTATATATTATATTATATAAGAAATATAAAAGAAATTAAAGACTTCAAACAAATTTTCAAACAAAATAATCTGTGATTATTTTCAATAATGAATGTTTTTATTATAGAGTTTTCCAAGTACTCTCAACATTCCCTCTGTTAAAATTGATGAAGATAAAGATCAAGAATGTTCTATGGGAAGCATTATGACTGTTAATAGTACATCATCGCCAAAACCATTTCCACGAAGAGCAACTCTTGCACAATTGCATAATTTTACAACAATGACACCACAAGAAATTGCTCAATGGATTGATAAACGTAGTAGAATTGTATTTCCAGTAGCTTTTATTATATTTAACATTCTTTACTTATCTTTTATTTGGATATAAAAATTTTATAATTAAATTAAATACATATAATTATATTTTTTTTAATGAATTGAAATTTTTAGGAAATAGATAGTTATAGAAGTTGTATTTATATAATTTAGTTATATAAAATGTTCAATAGAAAATTTGTTTTTATAGCAACTATATTATTAATGTATGTTTATATATTTTATACAAATTGATTTTAATGTAGGAAGATTACAAGTTAGTTATAGTAGATTATAAATTAAATTAAGATAAAGTTCCAAAGGGTCTCAGTATCCGATCGAGAAGAAATTTGTAGGGAAGGAAGGAGTGGGGGAAACGAATCTTATACTAAAAATTTTAGATTTGAGAATTTAATAATTTCCCTAATATTAATATAAAATTTTTTTATACTTAAAAATACATAACGGGGACCGGTAACTACATTGAATGAGTAAACAAGTTGAAAAAGTATCTTCATTGAAGTAAATATAAATTTTAGCAAAATTTAAAATATACGCATGAGCAAGGGAGAGGGTAAAGTCCCTCTCCTATGTTCCCACTTCATTAAATATAACCTGACTTAATCTAATTACTATTTTATATAATACATACAACAATTCAGACTGTTACAACGATACCTTGAATAACATCGAAGAAAAAAATCCTTATATCAACTTTGCAAGCAATTCATACTGCAAAATAAATGTTTGATTGCCTTTTCAACTCAGACCTCGAATGCCACAATTTTCAAAATTCACTGAGATATTATTTCTATTCAATTCACAAGGCAACATTTATTTCAATGGTGAGATTTTTCTAACTAATCATATATATGTATATTACATATTACATATGTATATGTATGTCTTTTACTAGTTTGTAAGAAGAAATCATTGAAACTAGTAGAAATGCCAGCTATCCAGTAACACGATGCGGTTTTTATTTTATCATTAACCAAATCATAATATAACAAATTAACCGTAATCATTAAATGTTTTAAAAATGTAATGAATAAACAAATACAAGGAAGGTCTTTTAAATGCTTTGTTTACATATATAAATATGAACAAAATCCACGTAGTTTATGTAAAACAAAGGATTTCATATATCTTAAAAGTTTTTATGGGTCCCAAAAATTAAAAATACAAAATTACATATAAAAGTACAAATTTATTACATAATTATTGCATATTGCAAGGAAAGTAAGTAAGGAAAAGGTAAATACAGGTCAGTATAAGCAAAGTTCCACCTCCATCATTACAATATACAGTAAGTTTTCATTTGTTTCTTAAGATGTATAGTATCAGTGTTGGGTTCAGTGTTGGAATATTGAGTGCTAATTCTAATTACATATCGTCATTGAACTTCTAAAATATGAGTAAATTTAGGCTTAGAGTGAGGATATTATTTTACTGTAAGAATAACGCAGGGGTGAAGAGTAGGTATCATTCCCTTATTTTCAACGTAGAAGTAGGAGGAAAAGATTAAAAGTAGGGAATAACTGTATTCTATGCATCCCGTGCCACGCGTCTGTTATGCGGCGGATGTGCCATAAAGGTGGAACAGTATTGCTTTGTTAAGTGATATGAGCATGTAAATTACACTGAAAGAACGTACATAGGAAACCGCTCAAATTAATAAGAATCACATTGCTTGATAACGCGACGCTAACCACATAATTATAATCAAAATCTAGCTATATCCATATCAGGCATTGGAGAAATTCAATATCTAATGAAATAATTTAATGTAATATAATATACAATATTAAATATATATAGTTAGTCTCGTGATACTGCATTGTGTTCTTAACAAGTAAGAAACGCAATTTCTACCGGCCCAGGTGATTTCCCTTCAATTAAGTAAGTATATACTACCACTCCAATCGCCAGCCAATGATATAAAAGTTGCGTCAGTGTACAACATTGAACTTGGCAACTTTCCCCTACAACTGTCATGTATATATAAATTAATATATAATATACATTAGCCTTTGACTGCTAAAGGCGTATATATATGCTCTATACGTTTTACTGTGTTATAATACCTTTACTGTTAATTAAATCGTTTCTATTATCTTCTTATGTTTATTCGTTTATATTATCTTTATTATCATTATGTTAAAAATGTCAAAATAAAGTTGTTCCTCATTATCAATTAATTATTCACCAATAATGAAAAGTTAATATGTTTACTTATTCTGTGCTTGGTAACAAAAAAATTTGTAGACGCTGTAAGGATTTAATATGTACTTACATAGATATTTATATTGATCGTAAATATTATAAACATATTTTCATAAATTTAAATAAAAAATTATGTACCCTATTACGGATTATGTTAGCAGCTCAAGTGTGTACCACGTGTGTTTTGAAGGACTAATTAACATAAGGGAAATAAAGTTTTGTTAAAAAAATGAAAAGTGAAGTCGTCGGAAAGTAAACTTTACGCCATTCAATTTTTCTTTTACATTTTCTCCTATTTCTAAGCAAGCCCAAAATATAACCTAAATCAAATGTGTAATTGATTTTATATATTTAAATAATAACATTGTATGTAAGTCATGTCTTGAACATAAAGGTTAAGATGAACATTGTTATCTAATAACACGTAATAGTGCTTATTAAAAACAAAACATATGAATGTAAGTATTTCTTTATAGAAAGATAATGAAAGTTATAACCAAAATAATTTCGCATATTTTAGTTGAAACTTATGTAAAGTATTAATGAAAGCAATGAAAATAATACTCAGGAAAAAAACAAAAGACTATACAATCAAATATATATTTTCATATTTTTAATTTTATTTTACAGAATTATATTAGCTTTAAAGAAAGTTTATTTATATTATTAAAACTATTTAATGTTATATTTGTATTTCTATGATAGTTACCTTAATGAATTAATTCTTATTTGTTTATTTAAATTTATTATAATAAGATTAAAAAAAGATTTATTAATTTACTTTAATAATTGAACTATGATTTATAATTGTATTATAGTAAATAATGATTGTATACAAATGTGAATATTATAATTTATCATTGCTATATTTTTTGTATTAAAGTGTATTAAGTATTTTTTATAATTTTCTTAACATTATGGAAACTTACGTACTACCTATCATTTCATATCACTTTCATCATTTTTAGCACATAGTACTTGTGATAAAAATAACTGATATAATATGTTATAAAAGGGTAGTATAGAAATTTTATCTTCAAGATTATATCTTAAAATTTTCATCTATTTCCAAACTGCCAATTATAATGAGATATAAGTAAGCAACTATGTTTATCTACAATATTTTCAATAAATATCAAATTTTACATGTTTTTAAGTGTTAGATTTTATTAGATTTATCATTACCACATTTATTAAATATACTACAAATACATAAAAAAATTAACATTCACAAACCGATATTGGAAATTTAGGTAGTGTATGTAAGCCTCCATGACTGATTGTATAATAAAATTAATAGATATAATCATAACAAAATTTAAATTTATTTTATAAAAATTTATATATTTCTGTTATTTTCAAATAATTTAAAATAATTTACAAGATAAACCAATGTATATATATACATTCTCATACACATATTATACAAATAAAAAATGTTTGTTTTCTAAAATTTGTACATTTAACAATTATAATATAATATTTTTGTAAGCAAAATATATTGCTGTAAATATAAATATTGTATAATAAAATACATATATATAAAATTTTGTATACATCAATACATAATTATAATAATATTTTTATGGAATGTATTACATGTTAGGAAGCTGTTTTGTATCTAATTTGAAATAAGATAATAGTTATTTGAAAAAATAATATAATTACAATATTCTTGATTATATGAGTGTCTAATTCTTTTGTATATATAGATACATATATATAATCAGAATAAGTGTATTTTTAGAAAATAAAAATTGACTAGGCTTTAAAGAGATAAATTCAAAAGCATTCAAATTAGTTGTAAAATATTATACATTTGGCTTATATAAATATTTGACTATCTGTTTTATATATATAATTATAATTTAATTATGTGCTCATGTGTCATTTAATATTCTGTTTGTCTTTATACAAAACTTTATGTCTCTTAATTTTGGACCATTTAAATTATAGTTGGTCATATATTTTTTCTTTCTAATATGTATGTTTATAGTTTATGTTAAAATATTATTTAATAAGATTAGGATTCTGCATACAATCTAATCTAAAAGTAGTTGATAGAAAATAAATAACAAAAAAAATTTTATTTCAGCAATGTAACATCAAAATCTATAAAATATATCAGATTTTTCCTTGAAATCTGAAATATATCAATTATATAACTTGCTCCCTTAAAACTGTTTTCTTTCAATTTTGAATTTTTATTCCCTCTCATTTCTTTAAAATCTAATATTATAATGTGAATTGTTAGATTTAGATATTATAGCTCAAAATATACAAAATACATCTCTCTGGCAAGTGATTTTTAATATATAGTAGTATAATTAGAAAATATAAAAGTTTAAGAAAGAATGTATAAAGCAGGTTTTATGTATTCTAATACCAAAAAATTCTTACTAAACATTATAGAATATATTTTAAAAAATATGGAAAGTATAATCATTTATTTCAAATATAATAGATAAGTCTTGAAAGAATTAGTGAGTTTAAATATAAAAATGTAAATATAATTATTTTTATATGAGTGTTTCATTCTTATTTGCTTCTGATAATGATATATTTTTCTTAGTTATCTACTTATGTCAACATTAAATTAGAGATTTCTAGATGTAATCTATATCCAATAAAAATTGTATTCTGACATTTTATTAGCATTCTAGTTAGCTTTGGCAGAGGTGAATTAACATAACAATATTGCTCAGCTAATCAAACAAAAAGCATGTAATTGGTGATCAATAATTTATAACATGATCACATATGTACTTAATAATTAACAAGCATAATATTAATATATCAATTGACACTCACTTACATTGCTAAAAAAACATAAGAATCTGGATTTTTGTTGAATTACAGTTTACATCAGAAAGGTTTAAACTATACTAAATATATAAACTTAAGCCACAAAAACTTAAAATGCTATATACATATCTACATATAGTTAACTTTTATGTTAAATAATTTTGAACTTATTTTTAAAATAAGAAAATTTACTATCACAAACTATAAAATTCATATTCAGAATCATATAATCAAGGAATATTCTTTCTTTTTTCCTTTTTTAGCCAGATATCATTAGCACAATGCTAATAAATTGCAAGTATTATTATAAATATTAGTATCATCTAATATTTGTACAAATATGGTCAATATAATTTTGAAAAATAAGATGGAAGATAAAAAATTTGTTGAGGGTATTTCATAAAATTTGGGCATAAAGTTAAGAATAAATTTAACATGCAAAAATAACGTTTGCCCTACTTGAATTTGTTTTTCATTTCAATTCATAAATGTATTACCTTTATAAAAAATCAAATATCGTAATTAATAAATCATTATAGAGATTACTATACATTTGTCTTTTTTGACTGAAACCTTGATGATTTTTGAGTGGCTGGAACTTTGTTAAAAGAAATCACACAATAATCCACCTAGATTGGTCTGGAAGATGAAATGAAAAGATGAAATTTCTTCTGTCATATTAATTAAATTGAATTTAGGAATGTGAAAGTAGGAGTTTCATCCTTCAAAATCAGCCTAAATGAATTCTTGTATAATTTCTTTTAACAAAGTTACAGCCACTGAAAGATTGAAAATTTTTCATTAAAAATTTTGTGGATATGTATAAAAAAGTATTATATATGCAATAATGTTATATATTATTCACTAGTATATAGATGTAACAAATGAATTTTTAATATAAAATATGTATAAATTTAACAATAGTTGCAATTAAAAAACTTCAAGTAGAACAAACAGTCATATAATAATTTTTTTTTAGTTTCATGTGCTAAATTTTTGTTCAAATATTTCAGGTAAATATTGTGTTTTTGTATTCAAGACAGTTAATTGCATTTTATGACATTGGAATAGGAGGATAGAACCCAAAATTAGATTTTAATTGTTCTAAGAAGACAAAAGTAAGAATAGTTTGTGGAGCTAATCTGATAAAAGCAGGTACGTATCCCTAAAATAAAATGATCAAAATAAAATAATCAAAAACTTCTAAGATCATATACTGGAAATTTTATTTTAAATAATACATTAGCAGAAAAGATTATTATTTGAATAAACACATTTAATTATTATATGTACAAGTGAATTGAAATAAATAATATAATAAATAAATATATATATATATATATATATACAATATATGTAATAAATAATAAATTATTTATATTTATTTAAATAAAAAGATTTCTCGCCTATAAATAAATAATTGGACAGTTGTTATATTAATATTGCATTGTAAAATGTCAATTTTCAATATATTTTCTATATTTTTTATATGTACAGGGTATCTCTGAAAGATATGTATAGCTGAGCACCAACTGATTCCTTATAAGAAGATATGAAAAAAATATAGAACAACAATTACTGTATAAGGTATAGTTTTCGAGAAAAATCGAATTTGAAAATTCACTTTGTATTATGCATTTATATTTATTAATAATATGCATTTACGACTAAAATATGTTTTATCGAGCGACTTATATCGCCTATCATGTTTATAAATAATCGTGTACTACTAAAAAAAAAGAAAAGAAAATATTTTACCAAGGATGTTTTATTATTTCAATTATAGAATTGTCAAAACTGTTATGCTTGTTGTATACAAAGTTATGCTCGTTTAATTACAAAGAATACAAAACAAATTTTCAAATTCGATTTTCTTGAAAACTATGCCCTAGACAAAGAAAAATTATTCTATATTTTTTCATATTTTTCAAGGACATACTATATAATTCAGACATTCAATAATAGTAAAATAGCTATATCTAAACTATCTACAAAACATTAACAATAAATTTCTTCCATGTAATACTACTGAATTTTAAATTTAATTTTTATCTAATATAGATGCACAGATGCATTCAATGTTATTAAGATGAATTATATGTGAAACAGAAAAACATGCTTCATCTATAACAAAGAATAGTAACTTAATCACATACATTATAAATATTGTGTTGTCTATAGAAAGTATTTAAAACTATCTAGCAATCAAAGGATTAATTATTTATACAAGCATATAATTTAAAAAAAGGGAAAACTCTGCTAGCTTTTTATAAAATAGGGAAAATCATTTTAATTGTTGGTTATTATAGCAAAATCACATGTATCAGTGCTTTAAATATTTTGTCTAAACTATTTATTATAAAATATTACATATATTTTCTACTTGTTTGCTATTTCTAAAAATATAACTTTATCTTATTTCAAATGTGTTTACCCAAATTATAACTTTCCTATTATTAGAATATAAAACAAAAATTACTAGGAAAAAGTAATATAGTCAATAAAAAGAACTTACTTTAAAAAATGCTAGTGGTCCTAATTTAGCAGTATACAAAAATAGATCCACCAAATTCTATAAAAAATTCTAAAATAAATAGTTAGTACTTTAATGTTATATTATTAATTTAAATTTATTATCTCAGTTACCTTAAATTCTCCCGGTTTAGCATTCATTGCTCGCGTTTTTAAAACATCTAATGGTTGTGTAAGAGTTGTAGCTACAGCACCCTTATATAAAAATAAAACATATCATTGTCTATGTTATTAGTTATTATACACACTGCTTAAATATATACTAATAAGATGTGTTATAAATAAATGACTAAATTTATTTATTTGAAGTATTTAATTATAGTTTAATAATTTAATATTCATGCAACTTTATATTTAGGTATTATAAATGATCAATTTTTGAATAATATTTAAGAATATATAAATAAACTGTATAGTTCATTTTATTCAAAATAAATTAATTCTTTTTCAAGTTTCATTGGATAATAGACTACATGTAAAATATCCGACAAAGAAACAAATAAACTTCTACAATATACTTAACAGATTATTTGAAGCCATAAAGATTATAAACACTTTTGGTTAAAGTAATATTTTTTATTTTGTATTTTCTTGTTATTGCTTTCTTGTTTTTACTTACAGTTTGCAGATATTCAATGAGTGTCTTTTTATTTATAAATAGTTATGTTTAAATAATTGTGAAATATTTGCATATGTTTTCTACTGTGTTATTCGTTGCTTATATTTTGTTAGAAATAATAGAAATTCATCTTAACTCGCCCTTTAAATATAAGAATATAATAAAATAGTTAAGAAAAGGGCAATTGAGACAATCTAACAAGTTCTCAATTTGCTAGTTCTTAATAGTTCTAAAGTAATTATATTTATGATTGTAAGTTATTTTTAAATTTTTGATTTTCTACAACTATGATCTTTAGGTTTTATGTAGTTTTATAAAAAAAATTGATATTTAAACCTAGTGCTGAAGTCATCATAATACAGATACATCTGCTATCAATCTACCCATTGAAAAATTTATCATAAAATTCGTTTTCCTATTGACTCACTTTATTATATTAATACACTTTTTATTTTATTATAAGGAAAACAACCTCTAAATATAAATGTAAATTATTTTGCAAAAACATTTTTATATTTATTAGCCATAAGCTGTCTTTGTGCAACATTTAAACTGAATGATATTTAGTTCTATAGATATGACTATCTTTCCAAACAGCGTAACATTGATAGGATATAACAAAAAATAATTACTCAAAAGAATTAGATATACAAAATTAAAATCTTGGCAATATCTTATTTTTGTTATAATGTTTAAAAAATAAAAATAGGTCCATAATGTGTATAACCTTAATAGATTAAAATGATCTAGTAAGTATATTGTAGTTAATTTTCTTGTGAAAAGAATGTCTGGTATAATATATATCAAATTTCCCCAATTTTATAAAATATGACATTATAATATATTATAATAAACGTAGTGTAATAATTATATAAAAACCATTTTTAAAAACAAATTATTGTACTTTAGATAAATTATAATTAAAATATCTTATTTTTATTTCTAAAACATCAAAATTATTTTAAAAAAGTACTTTGAAATAATCTTTCTTACATGTTAGAAATATTTAAATATACTTACTGCAAATACACTTGATACTATATGAGTTATAGGATTATCTTTAAAATAACCAGTTTGTAATAATGTAATTTTAACTTGATCATAAAAGCTCAGTTGCCCAATATTCATTAATGCAGCTCTTAATGTTGCTGTAGAACATCCACTAAATAATTTATGTAGTCCTTCTTTTTGGATTATACGTACTATTCCATCTAGAGCATGCTTATAACTATAATGTCATTAAGTATTAAATAACAGGCATAAAAATAAATTAAAATAGAAATTTATTCTCTTACTTTCGTCTTTGTTCTGGTGGAAGTTTTATGTCATTTTGCATGCGAACATTAATTACATCTCCTGGTGTTCCAAAGACACCACCAGTTGCCCCAGAGAATCCAGCCAATAAAAGTTTTTGATGAAATAACATTGTGTGTCCTGATTTTTCAAATGTTTGTTTCCCTACCTATATATTCATATATATTTATGTGTGTATACATGTATGTATGAATGTGTGTGTGCGTGTGTGTATGTATGTATGTGTATATATATATATATATATATATATATATATATTCAGAAGAAATATCTGATGAACAGACAGAGATATCTGATAAAATATCATTCCATTAAATAGTAGCAATAAATATATAATAAAATAAGTCAAATATACAGTAAAGTTGTAAGTCAATAAATGTATATATAATACAAATAAATTTACTTCATATACTCCAAATCTTATTGTAGAATATGTAAGTTGACGAAGTAAAGATGCACTTAATCCATTGTACAAAGCTAAAATTCCTTGATTCCTTATTATAGATACTGTTAGTTGTGCTATGGATATTTTTCCTTTTTGTTGTGTTTGTAAATGAACCTACAAATATGGTATATGTAAATAAAATATTATTGCATTTCATTATCTTAACAAATTTTGTTAAAATCATAAAGGTCACTATTTGCTTAACATAATATTTAAATTTCAAAATATAATTGGTATATAATTGTTAATTACTTCATTGTAATTTTAAAAAACAAAACAGATTTAGTTATGTTTGTTTAAGAATTTAATAAAAGTACCTTTAACAAATCTAATGGATGAGTAACACAAGCAGCACCTGCAGAAGAAAGCCCACCAAAATACCACCGTGATAATTTTTTTGATTTATCTGCCATATTTTTTGTATTATATTCTTTCATGAAACAAGTAAAAAAATGACATTTAGTAAATAATTAAAAAATAAAACTATTTGAAAAGAAGTGTAATTAATATATTTATTTATTATATACACACATATGTATGTGTCTCTGTAGTAAACAAAAATAATTAATTTATTAATAATTATTTAAAATGTTAAACTTAATTATTAATATATAATTAAATTATTGTAGATACTAAAATATATTTATATATATTTATTTATTTACTTATAAGAAAATAAAATCATTTTATTTAAAGTTGGATTGAAGGAGAAAATTGATTATCGATTAATAAATTATTTAAAAGATTTAAATAATAAAAGTAATAATTTTGAAATGTTATTACGAAACAAGCATAAGCTATAGTCATACCGCATATATATGTATGTATATTAAGTGTGTATAATGACGTCTCGTTGATAATTAATTCTGGAGCGGGATATAAAATATTTCTATTATTTTTGCGCGTGCGTATAATTTTATACAAACATATGTTTTTATGAAATTAATAATAAAAAGACTTAGGAATTATGTAGTAAAAGTGTAATATACGGAAATTATATTTTATTAATTCATACAAAAGAAATAATTTCAAAATAATACAGTTGAATTTTTATAATCACTAATAAATCGAAGTGATAGAAGAAAATATTAATAAAATAAATACATAACTGTAAAGGTACAATGGAGTATAACAGAAGAAAACAACTTACTACAAATTATATCATTAATGGAATTTTTAAATCATTCTTGATTAGTAACTATTCCTATAACATCTAAACTGTGACTGACGTAATGTCCAAACTCAGTTAATAGAGCTGGAAAGTTGGTGAACGCGCACGCATCAGCTGATAGCCACGTGTTATTCCACCTCCTTTCAAGACTGGAACTATTTTTTATTGATATGCTTGCTTTTAAGAATAATTTTATTTATTTAACTTTGTAAATTAGTGATTATTCGTAAATAAATATTCAAAGATTAAAAAAAAATACAGTTTTTTGGAATTAGGATTTATATGTTTATGTTCTAAAATAGAATTTCAAAATTACATATCAATATTTATGTGAAACATAAAATAATAATTTTCATATTTAAAAAGATTAATGCAAATTGAATTTTTATATATCATAATTTATTTTTTTAAATATATGATACGGAGCGGTACCCTTTATATCATATGTAATATCGTTGTTATTTATTAATTACGAGATATCATTTACATATTCATATTATTTGATTATTATTATTTTTATATGAATATAATTTTTTATAGAATTTTTTTGTGAATATATACTTTCATTTAAACACCGTTTAAAGAAAGATTGTTAGCATAATGATTTATTACATAATTTGTAGAAATATTCTATCTATACAGAGTTCAATAGTATTTAATTGGTAAATAATATTAAAATGGTAATAGTATTTAATTGATAAATAGTTGTAACATTTTTTTTTATCAAACGTACAAATATAATATTGGAATACTATTAATTGATATGTAATGTTATATTAATTAATTACATCATTAAATTAGCAAAATTACCATAGTTAAATATTAAAATTTATTTTTTGTTTCTTTATTCTGTATTTATATAAATTTTGTCAAAATTATAATCGAGTATATGATCTAAAGTTAAAAATTTTCTTGAAATATCGCGCCATAAATTTAGATAGTTTGATATATTTCAATCTAGCCTTAGACTTTTATCTACCTTTGGACTTCATATGTATATTGTAGTTAGTATCAAATTGAACTGAAGTTATCAAATACTTTAAGATTTAATATTTGTATTCATAATTCTATTATATTTAAGGATATGTAACAAATTATTAAATTCTAACCAATTTTATATACAAAATTTATTCTATTTAATAGTGCTGGAATTTAATATACATAACCAACAACTGTAATGTAAGTTTAAAATGAATTTGAAATATAATATAATTATAAATAAAATAATTCCGTTAAAGAATACAATAACATTAAATTTTATTTTATGATAAGAATTTTAGGCTTTGTTAGTACTGTTTATGATAATATATTCATTCTATAGTGTTATTTCGTAAATGCTTTAAGAATAGAATATTTTTTTATTTTTAGTGTAAATTATGGCTAGTATAATGGATTTAGTATCTAATACACTTGGTATTGATAAAGTAAATATGGATGGAAAATTAATCTTGATCGAAGAACAACACGATAGTAACGCAAACTTCTTATTGAGTTCTATTATATCCAATGCATTAAAAAAGAATTATAAAATATGTTTAGTACTTTTTCATAATACAATGAATCATTATCATAACATGGGTATGAAATTTGGTTATAATCTTACATTACTAAGAGAAAAAGATAAGGTTACAATTATAGAACCAATAAAAATTATTGCATCTAATATAGTATCTCCATGTGACCTATCAACAAACAATGTACTTCAGGATGTATTTGTAATAATTAAAAATGAATATTACAAAATAATGCAAAACAATGAACCTGTTATTATTATAATCGATGATTTAAGTCATATTTATAATATCGGATGTAATTTGAAGGAATCTATGTATTATGTAAGATATTTAAGGTCACTTTTGGAACATTATCATATGTCTCAACTTTGTATCGTAACACACACCTATAAAGATGACCAGAAGATTTGTTTATCTAATATACTTACACGTAGCCTTAATTATATGGCTCACCTGTTTATTAAAATTGAACCTCTTGAAACTGGATATTCTAACGATGCATCTGGAAATATTACAATTAATTGGAGAATAGATGACATAAGAAAAAAGTATAATTGGCCTGAGATAGTAAAATATATATATAAATTGTCTGATCGTCAAGTACAATTTTATACAGCTGGAACATAAGCTCTGTTATCATAAAATAAATTATTTCAAATTCAAATTTTATTCTATACATATGTATATAATAAATTACAAATAAATATTTTAGAAATAGTTTATATATACATGATTTATTCTTAATGATATATTCATAATTTTCTAAATTTAATAAATGGCTTATAAATATTATCTTATAATTATATAACTTAGATAAAATTCTATGGTTTTTTGAAGAACAAACTATAAAAACAAAAACTATATCTTTTAATAATGGATATGTCCGTTTTTTCTTTAGTTATTTCAGTTAGTAGTTTTTTTATAGAATTATATTAGATATATTCTTATAGTAAATTACGCTATATATCTTCAACGTACATTATAAACATATAATAATGAAATGTTTGATAATCTTTAAAATTATTATTAACGAATCCTAGATAAGATTTTTAAACGTTTTTTTAAAAGTTTAAAAAATAAATATATTGGATGATAGACACTTATTTAACGGTATCGCTATTTCATAAGAAATGCATCGAAACATTTAAATTAAATTTTCGATATGCAAATTTGAAAATTCAATAGTTCGGAGAATCAGAATCAGAGAAATAGAATCATCAAAGAAGAAAAATTAGATTAAATAATTGAATATATTATTTGGTTTGATTTCTAAATATTTAGCACAAATGGAAACATAACATATAAAGCGTAATAAGAGTATAAGATACACGTAAAATTTTATAACTAAAGATATTTTACGATTGAAAATGACTGGCATAATGTCTAGAAAGAAAATGTATGATTTATTACTAAAACAAAGCCGGTGAAATATTAATCTTACCTCGAGTATTCATGCGTTATGGACCAGAATGATATAACATTCAGCTAGAGATGATTTATAATTTGTCATTGTATCATGTAGATTAAAAGTGGAAAAAAAGAAAGGCAAATTGAAAAAAGTAATAACTTAAAACCTTAATTCGAAAAATAATATTAAGGTACAAAACTGTAAATATCTTGTTAAACTTCTTCATTAATATAAGTAAAAATAAATCTTAATCTTATTTATCAGATTTAGCTTGTACTTATAATTACCTAATCGTCACTGATTAACCGAGGAATTGAAAATTATGTTGATAAATATTCTTTTTTTTCATAAGTCTAGCATTGTTTCTTTCCACTTTCATTCCACATGTTTCTTGTCGTAGATAAATATTTATAAAGAGAACAATAAATAAAAAACATACAGAAATAGCAAAGAATACGAGAAAGTTTATTATTAAGTTAAGAGAAGTCTTTATCTTTTATATTCTTTTCATCCCCAAAATAAGAATATAATAATTCGTTCTCATAGAATAAAAATAGTCATAAGTAAGTCGTTTAAAAAAATTTTAAAAATTAATTACACTATGTGATAAACGAAAAAGAATTTATTATACGTGTAATATCATTAACTCAAAATATTTCTCAAATAGAGCAGAATTTCGTAAGTATAAGTATAATTCGTGAAGCGTCCAATATCCACGGTTTCCACGGTTGTATTCGACGAAATAAATCTGCGGTAAGTTTTAAGAATTGTATTTTACGTGTATAATTTACCAAACAAAACCAAAATAAATAAAGAAAATTGGAAGATATTATTAACATTATTAAGTTGAACATTTTTTGGAAAGGACGCAACCAAAAATTTTCAGAAAAAATTTAAAAGATTTAAAAAATTGCAAAATCTTACAAAAAAAGATTATATATTATTATGGTTTGTATAATAATTAATTTTTATTGATAGAATTGCAGAAGAATTTGAATTGGTATGGATTTTTTAAGATTAGTTTTAGTCGTGACAGTTCAATTATAACAAGAGTATGATTAGAAGGTGTTTCAATTAAAGCGCAGAGCGAAGGTGATTTAAAAATTAATGCAAAATATTTGCCATCGATTAAAATTTTCTTTACAATCACTTTTAAGTATAATGAAGCATTTATGGAAAGTTTAGACTGTAAATTAAAAAAAAAATTAATATTACATATAAACATGAATATTATAAATGATTTTACAACAAATTCAATAAAAATATAGGAAGACGATGAAATATCACGATATAATTAGTTGATTAAAGTATGAGGCGAATTGACAAAATACTAATCTATCCCGATCAATTAATAAAGAGAAATCATTCTTAAATACTTATTTTTGATTTTTTTACAATAAGTTGATAGATGTTATATATTAAATATGATATATATTTCATTTGAGTACATCGTTAGAGTTTGGTAAGATTAGATTGGTAAGAAACTCAAACATACCACATATTTTTTAAGAAATGATCATTTGATAAAAGAATAAAACTCATTCATTTGCAAGACTATATTTTGTAAAGATAGAATTGATTTAACTAATATTAATTAAACAATTTTTAATGATAATATATACTGGATATAACAAGATATATTATAATTCTTTATATAAAAGTCATAATATTTTTATGTAGTAAAATTTTTAACCTTTGACCCATGTACATTCATATTCAGGACAAAATTATACAATAAAAAAACCAAAACGTTAGACTTCGCCATGGTAGAACTGATAAATTAAAATAACGATGCCTATCTCGTCTCAGTCAAAAGTCAAAGTTTAAATGTCTCAGAAAAAATATTATGGCAAGGTAATTAATTTACTTTTTATGCTTAGTAGTTCTAAGTATAATTTTGTTACTAGTTTTTATTTCAAATGGTATATTTAAACAAACTATAAATTCTGTAAAAATTCCTTCTTTAATCTGTAAATGAAAAATTTCTATAATTTGCGATTTAAATTGTTTCAAAAGATTAAAACGAATAAAATATGAAATAAATTTTGTTTAAGCTTCTTTTTGTAATAATTAAATTTGAAACATTAAAGAAATGTACTATGAAACATACACAAAACACAGGGCGGAACAAATAAAGCGTTTCAAGTCATTTTCTCCAAAGTCATTGCAGTGTTAAATACTTTTATTATGCTGCTCTCCTTTCCTTCTTTTTTTCTAAATCAAATGGTACATTAATTTTTCAATATTCAAGATGCTGTAAGGAAAAATGTTATTAAAATTTAATTTTTATTTAAGAAATTTTTTGTATTCTGCATAGTTTTAGAGTTATACGTTTTAACATATGTGAAATTCATATAAATTCTAAAAAATTGAGTACTTTCATTGTGAACGAAATAGGTATGCAATGATTAATTAAAATTAAATGTTTTTCCAATGCATACGTTTTTAGAATTAGATCGTAGTGTAAGGTATTAACCCTTTGCGCTCAAAAGGTGACCCTCAATCGCCATTTAATCAGAACCTAAAAATCAATGTTAACTAATATATAAAATTTAAAATTACCCAACGATGCGTGGAATGTCGAAGTAAAATAATTCTACATCTTAATTTGCATACGATTTCTTATTTATCATTTTAAAAATATCGTTAACTTTATGGCAGAAAGTCATCGAATTACTATTTTTCTGTAATGAAAAATTCTCCGAGTGCTAAGGGTTAACCCTTTGCGTTCGAGAAGCGCCCTTCAGTCGCCATTTGATAAAATTTCGAAGCTCGACATTCATTAACCCTTTGGACTCGAAAATTTCTTCGTTGCGAAGATGCAATTCGAAGCTCTTCTTAGATTTTTATAAGCTCACTGATACTCTTTATGCTAAAATTAAACAAAGAAAATCGTGAATTTGCGTGAGAAACGGACGAATAGAGTAATTTTATTTCGATGTTCTTAATATAATTATCATCGTTCATTATTTAAATTATAGCATTAAAACAAACGGTGACTAAGAGTCACCTCTCGATTGCAAAGGGTTAATATGTCAAATTTCAGGTAATGTAACGGTGTGCGAGGTATCGAAGTCAAATAATTCTACGTGTTAATTATCATACGACTTCTTATTCACTGCTCAGAAAAATATCGTCAGCTCTATAATAGAAAATCTTTGAACTCCTATTCTTCTTTAGCCAAAAAATCGTCGAATGCAAAGGGTTAAGTTATACACTAATAGGCCCATCTTCACGTGGCTACTGTTGTAAACATCGTCCCAAGGTCCTTTCCAACCTGAAAAGTTGGCTAAGCAAGTTGCATATTGAAAGGGTAGGTTTAACTTATTCAGTGACACGTAAGGTGAAGAAAAGGCTTTTCCAAGCTAACATGTTCAACACACACGTTCTCCTGGTAAGTTAATATAGAGCAAAGCTCAAGAGACAACATAGTTGCATACAATATTCAAGTGGATCATATTTTACAATTTTTATAATATCCGTAAGTTGACCAAATATGTAATTAGGATTAAATTCTAAAAATAAATCAAGGATATTAGATATTTATAGTTCAGATTTATAAAGTATGTATAGTATATATAGTACAGTAAAACGATAGAAATTATATGCAATTGTTATAGCAATGTTTTCTAATAATGTTTTCGAATTATACTTACTTAAATGATATACGTATAAATATAAATATTTCTAGAAGTAATAGGGTAGAGAAAACACGAATAGGATGTTACTATGAAATGAAAAAAAATAAGCGAATAGATTAAAATAAAAGAAAATCGAACATGTTTTTAAAAATTTTAACCGTGGGGTTAACATACGAACATAGTTATAATTTATAAATACTAATATAAATGTAAATATTCTTAAATGAAATAAAGTCTTTATGTTCTTCAAAAGATAATTTTAATTTTGAATTTAGGAATTTAGTATCCAGAAATTTGATTATAATTGAAGAATATTTCGAATTTATTACGTTGGGATGGATTCGAGATCGTAATAAATCGATCGAGATGGATTTATTACGATGAATTTGTAACTCCATTTGTATTAATTTTTAATTAAAATGGTGAATCCTTTAAATTGGACAGATATAAGAATATCCTTTTACTTGTGGCGTATGAATTTTTCACATTGAGAAAAAGTGGGAAAATAACACTATCGAGTATGCATTGAGTATTTTTATAGAATTACTTGCCCTGAACACGAATTCGTAAGTAGAATT